CATTTTTTTTAAACTTATGGGCCTTTTCTACATATTATAAATTATTTATATACTATTTATAATTCCTATGCTTTTAATTTACTAATGAGTTTAAAATTCTCAGGGTGTTTTTTGTAAATTTTAATTTTAAGGGTTTGTTAGTAATATTAAAACTTTAAGGGTGTTTTGTATAAATTATAAATTATGTATGAGATATTTGTAATTCCTATATTTTTAATGTACTGTTAGGTTGAAAATTATTAGGATTTTTGTAAATTTTACAATTTTGAGGGTTTTATTTTGCAATTTGTAAAAAGTTCATTGTGTTTATTGTAAATTTCATAAATTTTCGGGGGTTGTTTGCGTTATTTGTAGGTTTTTAGTGTGTTTATAGGTTTGAATTTTTAAGGTGTTTTTTATAAATTTTGAAATTTTAGGGGTGTTTTTACAAATTTTAAAACTTACAAGATATATTCTCCAAAGTATAAAAACTTTTAGTTTCTCGCTAGCGTATGTTTTTCAGATTTCTCACTTAATTGAAATAAGTAAAAATTTATAATTTTCAAGATGCTTTAATAAAATTTTGAATTTGTACGAGTGTTTTTATAATTTAAAAAACTTGGAGAATATTTTTTACGAAGTTCAAAAATATTTAGGTGTTAGCTAACATAGGATTTTTAGATTTCTCTACGAACTGAAATAAGCAAAGGATTTGAATTATATAAAACGTATTTCTTTAACCAATAACATGTTAAGTCTCATTATGAATAAGATAAATCATTTAGTTACCAATTCAAAGAAGATAAGATAATTAGAATAGATTAGAATAATATTATAATATTTAAAAAAATTAAGGATAATATTGATCATAAAAAGATTTTTCCAAAGAAGGTAGGATAATTAGAATAGATTAGGATAATAATAATATATTTAAAAAATTTAAAGATAATATTAATTATGAAAAAATTTTGGGAAAAATGTATCCAGGCCCCAAAAACAGAAACATCATGTGCTGCGGCCCCTCCTAGTTTCCCCCATGTGATTCATCCCCTTGAAGTGTGACATTTTGTGCTGCAGCCCTTTTTAACAATTATTACATGCCAGCTAAGCTAAAATCCCCAAAATAACCTTATCCCCTCTCCTCAATCCTTCAAACCCAGCTCTCTCTCTCTCTCTCTCTCTCTCTCTCTCTCTCTCTTAGATTCTTTTCACAAAATGTAGAGGAGATGATAATGCAGGAATCAAGACTTTGTTTAAATAGGGGATTGGTTTGGTCGTCGTAGTTAAGGAACTTATGAGAGGTACTTGACATTCTGCTAAGTGAAGTCGAGAAAAGCAGTAACTTCAGTAGTGAAAGAGACTTATTTATACATGAATTTTGATTATACCCATATGCCATGGTAGGGGTCCTTGCAACATCCTCTATATCTTTAATGATCGACTTCAGCAGAGCAACATGTATTTCTCCCAATAATTTTGAATCCTGCAGAGATACGAGGCTAAATCAATATGAAGCAACTAGCAAGGCAGGGTATGCAGAACAACCAGGTGCAGAAAAAGCATAGTCCAGCATTGATTTGGTCAGCCAGCATATGCAGAGTACGATTATTAAGGTTGATAATGTATATTTTCAATGAATATTATCATTTTTCAGACCTAATTTTGTTCCCACGGATTTAAGGAGAAGAAAACAATGAAAACTTGTGAAATTAGAAAAGTATGTGAGCAGTAAAATCAGTGGGTTAGTTTTAATCTGCACAGTGTTAGTTCTATTCTGTAGCGTGTTAGTTCTAATCTGCACAGTGTTAGTTCTATTCTGTAGCGTGTTATTTCTAATATGCACAGTGTTAGTTCTATTCTGTAGCGTGTTAGTTTTAATCTGCACAGTGTTAGTTCTATTGTGTAGCGTGTTAGTTCTATTCTACACAGTGTTAGTTCTATTCTGTAGCGTGTTAGTTCTAATATGCACAGTGTTAGTTCTATTCTGTAGCGTGTTAGTTCTAATCTGCACAGTGTTAGTTCTATTCTGTAACGTGTTAGTTCTAATTTATACCACGTTAGTTCTATTTTATACCGCGTTAGTTCTAATTTATACCAAGTTAGTTCTAATTTATATCACATTAGTTCTAATTTATACCAAGTTAGTTCTAATTTATATCACGTTAGTTTTATTTTATACCGCGTTAGTTCTAATTTATATCAAGTTAGTTCTATTTTATACTACGTTAGTTTTAATTATCACCAAGAGGATAACAGCCTCTGCAGTGAGGACGTCCTCTGCAGTGACAAGACCGGGACTCTAACCCTCAACAAGCTCACCGTCGACAAGAGCCTCATCGAGGTCTTCGCAAGGGTGTCGACAGAGACGGAGTTGTTTTGTATGCTGTGAGGGCCTCTAGGATGGAGAACCAGGACGCTATTGATGCTTCCATTGTCAACATGCTCGCTGATCCTAAGGAGGTAATCAAAGATCTCTTTTTTTGTAAACACAAACAGAAGTATCGGGGTCAGTTAAGTAGCAACTCTCAAAACAAATTTGAGACAAGTTCGACTCAATTTTGGACAGAAGATGGACCAAAAAAAAACCAATTTGAGACAAGTTTGACTCAAAAGAAAACCAGTTTAAGTCGTGGTCCATTTTTATTTTTTTTTGCAAACTAGGACTAGGACCTAAACTGGTTTTCTTCCACTAACCTAGTTTAAGTGAAGTTGCCAAACATGCTCTCATATCCAATACTTATATCTCGAATTTATATTGTTGAGTAGGCGAGAGCCGGGATCAAGGAGGTGCACTTCCTTCCCTTCAACCCAGTCGAGAAGCGCACGGCCATTACCTACATCGACGAGAGCGGAAAATTGCACAGGGCAAGCAAAGGCGCACCCGAACAGATCATCGACCTCTGCAACATGACCAAACACGCCAAGCATAAGGTCCACAAGATGATTGATCAGTTTGCTGATCGTGGCCTTAGATCATTGGGTGTTGCAAGGCAAGAAGTCCCAGAGGCGACCAAGGAGAGCGAGGGCGCACCGTGGCAGTTCGTGGGGTTGCTCCCGCTCTTTGATCCACCGAGGCACAACAGCGCTGAGACCATCCGTCGTGCCCTAAACCTCGGCGTCAATGTCAAGATGATCACAGGTGATCAGCTCGCTATCGGTAAAGAGACCGGAAGAAGGCTTGGTATGGGGACTAACATGTACCCGTCCACTATTCTTCTTGGTGACAAGAACAACGAGCTTGACATTGATGAGCTTATCGAGAAGGCTGACGGATTTGCAGGAGTCTTCCCAGGTATGCAGCATATATTTTATACTAACGTAGTATAAAATAGAACTAACTTGGTATAAATTAGAACTAACACGGTATAAAATAGAACTAACGTGGTATAAATTAGAACTAACTTGGTATAAATTAGAACTAACGTGATATAAATTAGAACTAACTTGGTATAAATTAGAACTAACGCGGTATAAAATAGAACTAACGTGGTATAAATTAGAACTAACACGCTACAGAATAGAACTAACACTGTGCAGAATAGAACTAACATGCTACAGAATAGAACTAATACTGTGCAGATTAGAACTAACATGCTACAGAATAGAACTAACACTGTGCAGATTAGAACTAACACGCTACAGAATAGAACTAACACTGTGCAGATTAGAACTAACACGCTACAGAATAGAACTAACACTGTGCAGATTAGAACTAACACGCTACAGAATAGAACTAACACTGTGCAGATTAGAACTAACCCACTGATTTTACTGGTCACATACTTTTCTAATTTCACAAGTTTTCATTGTTTTCTTCTCCTTAAATCTGTGGGAACAAAATTAGTTCTGAAAAATGATAATATTCATTGAAAATATACATTATCAACCTTAATAATCGTACTCTGCATATGCTGGCTGACCAAATCAATGCTGGACTATGCTTTTTCTGCACCTGGTTGTTCTGCATACCCTGCCTTGCTAGTTGCTTCATATTGATTTAGCCTCGTATCTCTGCAGGATTCAAAATTATTGGGAGAAATACATGTTGCTCTGCTGAAGTCGATCATTAAAGATATAGAGGATGTTGCAAGGACCCCTGCCATGGCATATGGGTATAATCAAAATTCATGTATAAATAAGTCTCTTTCACTACTGAAGTTACTGCTTTTCTCGACTTCACTTAGTGGGCGGAGGTGGCGACGGCGAGGAGGGCGAGGGCCAGGGCGACGAGCTTGAGAAAGCCCTTGTTTTTAGAGAGAGAGAGAGAGAGTGAGAGAGAGAGAGAGAGATAGAGAGCTGAGTTTGATTGAGGAGAGGGGAGAAGATTATTTTGGGGATTTTAGCTTAGCTGGCATGTAATAATTGTTAAAAAAGGGCTGCAGCACAAAATATCACACTTCAAGGAGCTGAACCACATGGGGGAAACTAGGATGGGCTGCAGCACATGAAGTTTCTGTTTTTTGGGCCTGGACACATTTTTCCCAAAAATTTTCCCCAGCTGGTACGTATCATAAATTTGGGAAAAAAAAGAAAACTTTGCCGGATTGTCAAAAAAGCGTTCGACCCCTGCGACGCTGCTCCTCTACGACGCTGATTTCTCCATCAAGAAAAAGAGGAGCGGGCGAGTGATCGCTGACTAAAACTCCATTTCCGATTATTATTATTCTTAATTCCATTTATATTTCCTAATCGAGAAACCCTAAGCAACCTCGGAGTCCGACTCCGACCGATCGAAGGATTTCCAATCTCTTCATCAATCATCTCCTTCTTCCCATCAACCAATCTCTCTCCCTCCCTCCCTCAAAGT